CCCCCGGGGGCGGGGCCAAGGTTGGCGCCGGAGCCGGCAAGGGCACGCGCGGCGCCCCCGGGGCCGGGACCAGCCATGCGCCTGGGGCTGGCACTTGCCAGCCCAGATTGCTCCGTGGGCGCATGTAAAGAGCCCAGCGGGCGCCATGGCGCCCGCGGGCACCGGGTTGGGGACCACGGCTGTAAGGGAAGCCACCCTCCTAATGGACTATTTAGGGAAGATCTGGAACTCAGAGGCTGTGTCTACATTGATGCGATCTTGCGCAAAAGCACATCTCTTGTGCAAAGGCACATGCCAGTGTAGATGGTCTCTTGTGCAAGAAAGCTCTGATGACCATTTGAACCATAGGGCTTTCTTGCGCAAGAAAGCCCTATGGTTCAAATGGTCATCAGAGCTTTCTTGCACAAGAGACCATCTACACTGGCATGTGCCTTTGCACAAGAGATGTGCTTTTGCGCAAGAGCATCCATGCCAGTGTAGATGGTCTCTTGTGCAAGAAAGCTCTGATGACCATTTGAACCATAGGGCTTTCTTGCGCAAGAAAGCCCTATGGTTCAAATGGTCATCAGAGCTTTCTTGCACAAGAGACCATCTACACTGGCATGTGCCTTTGCACAAGAGATGTGCTTTTGCGCAAGAGCATCCATGCCAGTGTAGATGTAGCCAGAGGCTAACATAACGTAACAGGAAACTTGGAAATGGCAGAGATGCTTAATGACTTTGTTTCGGTCTTCACCGAGAAGTCTGATGAAGGAATGCCTAACGTAGTGAATGCTAGGGGTAAAAGGGTAGGTTTAGAAGATAAAATTAAAAAAGAGCAAGTTAAAAATTACTTAGAAAAGTTAGATGTCTGCAAGTCACCAGGGCCTGATGAAATGCATCCTAGAATACTCAAGGAGCTGATAGAGGAGGTATCTGAGTCTTTAGCTATCATCTTTGGAAAACCATGGAAGGCAGGAGAGATTCCAGAAGACTGGAAAAGGGCAAATATAGTGCCCATCTATAAAAAGGGAAATAAGAACAATCCAGGAAACTACAGGCCAATCAGCTTAACTTCTGTGCCAGGAGAGATAATGGAGCAAGTTATTAAGGAAATAATTTGCAAACATTTTGAAGATAATAAGGTGATAGGGAACAGCCTGCATCAATCTGTAAAAAACAAATCATGTCAAACAAATCTGATAGCTTTCTTTGCTAGGATAAGAGTCTTGTGGATAAGGGAAAAGCAGTGGACATGGTATACCTAGACTTCAGTAAGGCATTTGATATGATCTCACATTATATTCTTATCAATAAACAAGGCAAATACAACTTAGATGGGGCTACTATAAGGTGGGTGCATAACTGGCTGGATAACCGTTCTCAGAGGGTAGTTATTAACGGTTCACAATCCTGCTAGAAAGATATAACAAGTGGGGTTCCACAGGGGTCTGTTTTGGGACCGGTTCTGTTCAATATCTTCATCAACAATGTAGATATCGTCATAGAGAGTATGCTTATTAAGTTTGCAGATGATACTAAGCTGGGAGGGGATGCAACAGTTTTGGAGGATAGGGTCATGATTCAAAATGATCTAGACAAATTGGAGTTTAATAACGGCAGGATGAAGTTTAATTACGACAAATGCAAAGTGCTCTACTTAGGAAGGAACAATCAGTTTCACACATACAGAATGAGAAGTGACTGTCTAGGAAGGAGTACGGCAGAAAGGGATCTAGGGTTTATAGTGGACCACAAGCTAAATCTGAGTCAACAGTGTGACACTGTTGCAAAAAAAGCAAACATGACTCTAGGATGCATTAACTGGTGTGGTGTGAGCAAGACGCGATAAGGCATTCTTCTGCTCTACTCTGCGCTGATTAGGCCTCAGTTGGAGTATTGTGTCCAGTTCTGGGCACCACGTTTCAAAAAAGATGTGGAGAAATTGGAGAAGGTCCAGAGAAGAGCAACAAGAATGATTAAAGGTCTAGAGAACATCACCTATGAAGGAAGACTGAAAGAATTAGGCTTGTTTAGTTTGGAAAAGAGAAGATTGAGGGGGGATATGATAGCGGTTTTCAGGTATCTAAATGGGTGTCACAAGGAGGAGGGAGAAAACTTTTCTTCCTGGCCTCTGAGGCTAGAACAAGAAGCAATGGACTTAAACTGCATCAAGGGAGGTTTAGGTTGGACATTAGGAAAAAAGTTCCTAACTGTCAGGATGGTTAAACACTGGAATAAATTGCCTAGGAAGGTTGTGGAATCTCCATCTCTAGAGATATTTAAGAGTAGGTTAGATAAATGTTTATCAGGGATGGTTTAGACCAGTGGTCCCCAACCTTTCGTGGCTGCCAGGCGCCCAGGGCCGGGGCCACTCACGTGTCCGGGGGCAGGGCCACTCACACGCCGCACTTCCGGGGGTAGGGTCACATATGAGCCCCGGGGGCGGGGGCCACCCATGCGCCCTGAACCCAGGGCCAGGGTCACACGTGCCACGCGCCAGGGGCAGAGCCAGCCCAGATGTTTCGGTGGGGGCACATAAATGCCCCGGCAGGCCCCATGGCACCCGCCGGCACCGCGTTGGGGACCACTGGTCTAGACAGTATTGGGTCCTGCCTTGAGGGCAGGGGACTGGACTCGATGACCTCTTTAGGTCCCTTCCAGTCCTAGTATTCTATGATTCTACAACAAGGCAACACCCTATTCTGGAGGCAGAAGAAAAGATTTCCTTTTTGTGTTTTGAATTTGTTTCTTTTGGTTTGGCTGAAAAGTATTCCTGGGGCCTACCCTGGGGCCCCCCTTGAAAATACTGAAGAGTAAAACCAGAGTGATGAGTAAAAGTCTCGAGAGTGGGACTGATTTACTCCAGGCCTGCACCACCAGCGGGGGAATGCTGAGCTCCGTGAGGGGAAACAGGTGTCTTGCCATTAACACTAGCCCAGCATAATCCCAACATGGACAATACACTTATGCAAACCTGGCATGCTCTAAATAGGTTTCTTTCCTTCTTTAGCCTGTCACCCTGGTCAAATTCCTATAAGGAAATTCTATTCTATTCTGTTACCTTAAATATTTCCTTTTCCCTTTCAACTGGATATAGACTTTTCTTTACTACTTTTCCTGAAACTCTCATGCATGGTTGCTGTGTTCTGTTCAACCACTGCAGCATTCCACTTTGGAGGCGGCTGCATTTTAGGTATGATTTCATATCATCAGGACGTCATTTGGGAGCCTTCAGGATGACGGTGCTTTATGAATGCACTTGCTGTGGGAGTTGAGTGTAGTTCAGGAAAATCTGTGTATCAAGTGTCAACCGAAACATATTACTAAGGGGTTAATTACCTAGGCCATGTCTAGTCTACTTATAGACTGCAGTAATAATGGCAGTTTTTCCTGTCCACACAACCCTCCTTTTATCAGTGGTGCGTGTCTTCACAAAAGAGGCAGTGTGGGATGCTGAGAGCCCATTCCACTGCATGCCACTCAGTTTCGAAACAGGGATTCTACTCTAGCAATGCAATTAACATTCTTGACCTTCATGGCTCCAACAGTCAGCCACGTTGACAGCCAATAGGTAGTGCAAATACTGCAGTAGCTGTACAGATACTGTGTTGCATGAACTAAGTCAGCCTACATCTTTTGCCTCTTGTCAAGGTGGATTGCTAGCTACGTTACAGCAACAGGAGGAACACTGTGTGGCTACGTCTACACTGGCCCCTTTTCCGGAAGGGGCATGTAAATTTCACGAGCCGTCGTAGGGAAATCTGTAAGGCTACGTCTACACTGGCCCCTTTTCCGGGAGGGGCATGTAAATTTCACTAGTCGTCGTAGGGAAATCCGCGGGGGATTTAAATATCCCCCGCGGCATTTAAATAAAAATGTCCGCCGCTTTTTTCCGGCTTTTAAAAAAGCCGGAAAAGAGCGTCTAGACTGGCCCCGATCCTCCGGAAAAAGTGCCCTTTTCCGGAGGCTCTTATTCTTTGAAGTAAGAATAAGAGCCTCCGGAAAAGGGCACTTTTTCCGGAGGATCGGGGCCAGTCTAGACGCTCTTTTCCGGCTTTTTTAAAAGCCGGAAAAAAGCGGCGGACATTTTTATTTAAATGCCGCGGGGGATATTTAAATCCCCCGCGCATTTCCCTACGACGGCTCGTGAAATTTACATGCCCCTTCCGGAAAAGGGGCCAGTGTAGACATAGCCTGTGTGTACACTTACATAGTTAGGTCAGTGTAAGCTTGACTTAACTTTGTGGTGTAGATGTCCCCCTAAATTCCTCTGGAGCTTGAAGTGCACTCAGCTCTCAGCAGTTAGCTGCAGTTGTGCTATTTATTGTGAGGAGAGGTGTCTTTTGATGAAATGTTGGGTTCTCTGTGCTTTGCATGGATGTTAAAAACCCCTGGGAGTGTTAGTAGGAAGAGGGTTCACCTCCAATACAATGTACTTGGCCATTATACACTGTTCTGTGTCCCCAGCTGCCAGCCTTATTCCCAAGGTAACTTTCAATGGAGCTGTATGTAGAAAGATTGTACAGGGCTCTGGGACCCTTGCGGGAGAACAGACAATATAGAAATGCAATATACTGTTGTTTTCAATAATTAATTAATTTCCTGTTTGAGTTTCCTAGTGCTTCTCCCCTGCCTTGCACATCTGCTCCATTTGTCTGTGCACCAAACTCAGTTGTGAAAACGCATTTAAATATTATCCAGAGGTATCAAGGTTTAAAAATCATAAATCCCTTGCTGCACCAGAACTAATGATTATTGGTCCCTTACTGCTTCTGAGTTCAGAGCCTGGGCTAGCAGTTGATTTCTCCCACATCATCTCTGTGTCAGCGCTAAGACATAAAATGCTACATCACTGATTGATGGGGGTGTAAAGTTTAAACCACTAGGTGATGCTTAGAAGTTATTTTTACTTACAGGTCAAAGAACATCCAGTATTCTCCCTCTCTGGGAAGAGGAGTGGAATTTAGCAGTTAATTAGCTTCTTTTATTGTCTCTCTAGAAAATCTTCCACTCGAGATAGTGAAAGATCCCGTCGAAGTAGCGTCCACAGTCTGTCAGAGCAGTCTGAAAACAGTCAAGAAAAGGATTGGATGGAAGATGAGTCATCTGCAGATACCAATGCCAACCCAAAAAAGTGAGACTTTGCAACATGTTTCAGTGCATTAATGGGGAAGTTTCCCACAGCAGCAGCTATACCAGAAATGGGAAACAGAAGCAGTTGCTTTGTGAAGCAGCTAGTTTGTCCAGAGGTTTGCAGTTTTCATGATGAGATAGTGAGATCCAGATTAAATTTCCTTTCCTTTGGGGAAGATTTTTTCTTCGAGTGATTGCTCATGTGCATTCCAATATAGGTGTGCATGCACGGTGTGTACGTGTCGTTGGAAGTTTTTTCCCTAAGCAGTACCCTTAGGGCTAGCAGGGAGCCCCCTGAAGTGGCGCCAGTATATCAGTGTATATATAGCCCTGCTGGCCCCCTCCCCACTCAGTTCCTTCTTACCACCGGTGTCAGTGTTGGAACAACCCTCAGCTCCTCCTCCAGTTGTTTCCCTTTCTAATTCTTCTATGCTGATATCAACAGTGCTTCAGTTAAGTACCTGTGAATTTGTTCTAAAGACTCTCCTCTGTGTTTACCCTTTCCACCCCGCCGCGGCGCTCCCTGCACCTGCAGCAAGGCATGTCTGGCCCTCAAGGCTTCAAGCCCTGTAAGAAGTGCGGCAAGTCTATGCCCTGTAGTGACCCACACTTCTTCTGTCTGAAGTGCCTGGGAGACTCGCGTATAACCTCTGCGTGCAAGATCTGCAAGGCATTTAAACCCAGGTCCAAACAAGAGCGCGAATCTCAACTTCGGGCGCTCCTAATGGAGGCAGCTCTCCGGCCGGCACCGGCCTCGGCACCGGGCCCTGGCAGCGCACCGGCCTCGGTGCGGGACTCCTTGACGCACCACTCTTCCCCAGCACCGCACAGAGCCAGGCACCGCTCACACTCGATGGCATGGCCTACGAAGAGGTGGCCTGATGGGGTCAGTCCCCGTCCAAGCACGTGCCCTCCGTGTGCTCCTCAGTGGGGCATGTGGCGCCAGTCAGCCCACAACCCGGACCCTCGAGGTCGAGCGACTATCCTTCCCGGTAACGGGACGCCAGCCTGCTGGACAGCTTCCCAGACTCGTCCACCCTGGAGGCATTGGAGGTGGCGAAGGGTACTCATTGAATCGTCTCCCTCCCCTCCTCCCGTCTCGCCACCTCCCAGACGGCACTGGGACACCTGGCACTGCTCTCTGTAGAGCGCCACGAGGCACTGAGCCACAGGTTGCAGGTAGCACCACCCTCGGTACCGGGCATGGAGATGCCGGTGCAACTGACACTGGCACCAGACACAGCCCGCGCTCCTCGCTCAACGCCCTTGCCGACCCTCAGCACCGCGGCACCTGCCCTGCCCAAGGACCCTGCCAAGGATAAGCCTCCACCCCTGGCTCCGCCTCAACACCGCGGCAAACCCAAAGCCGTGTCGCAACACGCTGCAGCACATTCAGCATTAGCACCACCATGGTCCGTGTTGGACTACTCCTCCGACTGACGCAGAATCGGTGTGGTCGTCAAGAGGTTCTAGGTCCCGCTCGCAGCACCGGTCTCAGCACCGTTCCCCTCCACACCATCTTCAACAACAGTGGGGCCAGCCGATCCCGGTGCCTATGCTACAGCAGACTTGGCCTCCTCAACCATCTGAGCAGTGGCCTTTTTAGACTCCCTGGGCATACCATCAGAGCCAGGGCTCCACTCCTCCTCGACCGGCTTCCTCTGTTTCAGGGCCACGGGTTCCCCCCATCGGCTACCCCATTGGCCCGATCCCCCACCTCAACACATTCTTTGCCTCTGGGCCAGTTGTCTCCAGGACAAGCTGGGACATAGCCCAATCAATTTTCTGTGCTTGGGGGCTTCCTCACCTGGACCTGTTCGCCGCGGCTTGGAACGCCAAATATCACCACTACTGCTCTCTCATGGAGCAGGGTCGGGGTTCCCTAGGGGGTGCTCTCCTCCTTCGCTGGCTGCAGGGCCTTCTTTACGCTTTCCCGCCATTCCCTCTAGTCCACAAGGTCCTGTTGAAAGTGCGGGAGTTCAGGGCACTACTAATCCTGATTGCCCCAGCGTGACCCCGGTAGCACTGGTACTCAACGCTCCTCAGTCTTTCGTGTGAAAGTCCCATAGCCCTCCCACTAGTCCCAGATCTCGTATCCCAGTACTCGAGCAGGCTGCTCCATCCAAACCTGCAGTCCCTCCACTTGACAGCCTGGAAGCTCCATGGCTAATGGCTCAGGAGCTCCGGTGCTCTCAACGAGGCCAGGAAGTCCTGCTGGGTAGCAGGAAACCCTCCACTAGATCCACATACCTTGCTAAATGGAAGCGGTTCTGCTCCTGGGCGTCCCACTAGGGAATGCACCCAAGATGGACTCCAGGATCCAGGGTCCTGGACTACTTGCTGGACCTTAGGCTCCGGCATCTCTCTTCCTCCTCCATTAGGGTCCACTTGGTGGCCATCTCGGCCTTCCACCTAGGGGAGGGAGGCAAAACACTGTTCGTCAACCCGATGGTTAGTAGATTTTTGAAAGGCTTGAATAGGCTCTACCTGCATGTCTGACAACCTGTTCCCCAATGGGACCTAAACTTTGTCCTCTCCAAGCTTATGGGGCACCCATTTGAGTCGATGGCCACGTGCTCACTCCTTCACCTATCATACAAGATCTCCCTCCTGGTGGCAATCACGTCCGCGAGACGGGTATCCGAACTTAGGACACTCACATGTGATTCCCAGTATTTTTTAAAGACAAGGTCAGACTCCGCCCCCATCCAGCTTTTCTGCCTAAGGTGGTCTCCTCTTTTCACATTTCCCAAGATATCTTTCTTCCAGTTTTCTACCCGAAACCGCATTCATCTGGAAAGGAACAGGTCCTACACACATTAGATGTCCGAAGGGCATTAGCCTTTCATTTGGGCAGGACCAAACCATTCCGTAAATCACCACAGCTTTTTGTAGACATCGTGGAACATATGAAGGGCCAACCCATATCCACCCAAAAGGTCACCTCATGGATAACCGCCTGTATCAGGGAATGCTACTCCCTAGCGGGCATCCCAGCCCCGTCTCTTCGGACGCACTCCACGAGGGTGATGGCAACGTCCACCGCTTTTGCAGCGCAGGTCCCATCCCCGACAATTGCAAGACTGCCATGTGGTCTTCGGTCCACATGTTTGTCAATCACTGTGCCCTACCCCAGCAGGCCAGGGAGGACGCTGCCCTGGGTAGGGTGGTTCTTAGCTCAGGTGTAGTTTCTTTCCCCAGCTCTCCGCCTAGTTAGGTTCTGCTTTGGAGTCACCTATATTGGAGTGCACATGAGCAATCGCTCGAAGAAGAAAGAACTGTTACTTACCTCGTAACTGTGATTCTTCGAGATGTGTTGCTCATGTCTGTTCCAAATCCCCACCCACCACCCTTTGCCAGTAAGAAGGAACAGAGTGGGGAGGGGGCCAGCAGGGGTATATGTGCACTAATATACTGGCGCCATTCCAGGGGGCTCCCTGCTGTCCCTGAGAGTACTGCTGAGGGAAAAAACTTCCGACGATGTGTGCACGCCGCGCGCGCACACCTATATTGGAATGGACATGAGCAACACATCTCGAAGAATCACAGTCACGAGGTAAGTAACCATTCTTTTCCTTTGTCAGCCCCATGGGGCAACTACCCAACTCTGCATTTCCTGCTATGAATTTAGCAGCATGGCACTTACCCATGAGAGAAGTCTGTTAATGGGAGGAGGGGGAAATAGAGGATGTGATTGCCAGTTTCGAGGGAAAAAGTTCACATAAAAATCCCAGTAACACACATTGCAGAAATACATTTGCATCTATCGTTTATATTTTGTTACCTTTACATAACTTATTTATGCTTTCAGGATTGGATGTAGAAACCTCCAGCTAGTGATGCAGGAAGACGATGGGAAAGGTTGGTTGATTCTATGTGTGTTTCTGGTGATGAAACCATTTGGTATTCCACAGCTTTTGAGTTATTAGTATCGCATTGTGGCGAATGCTTGTTTTAGCTGGAGGCTGTTATCTCAAGTGTGCTCTACAGTCCAAATCACACAGCTCCCCACACAAATTAATTAAAGCAAATGTTAAAACTCTTTGAGGTATCAGATTTAATGTCCTAGAGTTAAGCCCTTCTTTACAAAACCACTACTGCCTTCAGTGGCACCCTCTCAGTTCAGATTAGCAGGTCTTTGCTAGACCTGCTAATTCGAAACCCAGAACATCGACTGTGGCAGCACTGATCTTTTGCGTAGTGTAGAGATGGCCTTAGGGAGCAATAACACTGGTTAACAAAGTGATTGCATAGTCTCTTTGAAGCAAAGGACTGTTTATATTGAACAAAAACTTTTAGAGAAAACCTATCTTAGAAGCAGTAAAACAACCAGTATGCATGTCTGACACCCTATCTAACAGTCTCCTACAGGGCATGGGGATCCACATATGATCAGCTCTCTTGAGGGTCTTCCCTAGAGCCTGTCAGCTTGTCCCCTTGCCTAAGCTACTGCTAAGTAATCCCTCCCTTTTTCCTCCTGAAAAGTTTTTTTAACTGGTTAATGCTCTTGATTCCCCCTTCCACCTTTTGCCAAATAAGGTTTACAATGTGTTAGAGACAGTTTACAAAATCCTTGAAGCTTATAGCTTGCTCCATTGTCTTCCAAGTGTGTGCTTGAGGCTGCTTATCAGATCTATGAGGTGGCTTTCCTGTTTCCTCTTCCCACAGCCCACTGTTATCCATGTCTAAGCTAGGGAGTTTACTGCCACAGGAGAGGGCATTGTTAAACCACTTCCAATGATTGGCATTAGCTATGTCATCAGGAGAGCCTCTCAAACCCACAGAGTGCTGTTCTCACCAGCACTTTTGCAGGTGAAACTTTTGTCAGAGATGGGTGTGGGGGTTTTTCACACCTCTGAGAAAGTTGACTGACAAAAGTGGTAGTGTAGACAAAGTCTTCGCTAAATTAGTACACTCACACAAGGTGGTCTGATCATGTCTGTTATATCTCATTGCCCAAGTCACTTGCAATGTTCATCCCATTATTGCATGTCAGTATTCATAGATGAGTAGCTTCTATCCATCAGAGGGGCTTCTACCGCTTCCTCCATAAATGTAAAATAACTCCCTACACTGCACTTAGGAATTTTTCCCACAATAGTCACTTAAAACACAGAAACCTTAATTCTGATTCTTCTTAGCTACTACATCCATCCCTCGGTGGCATTTATAACATCTCGCATACACATGCAGACTTTTTACCAGAGATGTCCATATTTACCTTACCGTTCCCTGATCCAAAAATAAACCAAATGTATTGTATGAATGATTAACACTAGTGAACACTGGGGCAAAATCACCCAAAAAAGAGGAGTGGAAGGGACTTAACGAGAGAAGAGACAAGAAGGAAGTGAACAGGCTTCATGAAATAACAGTGACGGAACAACTCTGAAAGAAATAGCAACCAAACAGGAAAATGAGGTTGGTAAAATAATGTGAATAAATCTGAGGAACTTCCATACTCCTATGTGGAAACCTCTTTACAAGCACTTGTGTGAGGAAGGGTTTTAAAATTCGGAATAGGTAATTTTTCTTTGCTTTAAAATACATATAGCTTGACATAGACCGTATATCTTAGGGCATGCCTACTCCAGGAAATTATTTCAAAATAACTCATTTTGAAATAACTCCTGAAATAACTCTTTCAAAATAGTGCGTCCACACTACACGGCAGCATTGGAATAGCTCAGAATTAATTTGAAATAGCACGTCCACACTGATTGGAGCCTGCATCACATTTAAAGCCCCCGGAAGCACTCCGGGGAGGGCACCAGGAGAGACGACGTTGAGGCTAGCTCAGACACATGCTTAAAGGGGCTCCTCTCTACAGCCGTGTTTCATACTCCACTTCTCCACTGCCTACCCCCTTGCGGGGCATCAAACCCACGCCATGTGCTCAGGTTGCCCTTGCGGATGCCATAGCACATCCAACATGGAGCCAGAGCTGCTACAAGGCAGTGCCAGGCTCACAGGATTCGTGCTGTGCCTCATGGTGCAATTTATCCACACTGCCCACGTGCTGCTTCTGGACGACAATGACCAGCCCAGACTGGGGGACCTCTTCACCCAGGCCCTGGTGCTCCTGCTGCAGCAAAAGCTCCTCAATCCCCTGCACTCCATGGAACACCACTTCTGGTGGAGGGAGACCAGTTCGGACTGGTGGGACCGCATCATCCTGAAGCGATGGGACGACCTGCAGTGGCTGCAGAACTTCCACATGCGCAAGGCCACCTTCCTGGAGCTCCACGAGTGGTTCGCCCCTGCCTCAGGAGACAGGACACCCAGATGAGACCTGCCATCCCCCTGCAGAAGCGTGTCACCATTGCCCTCTGGAAGCTCACCGTGCTGTCTGTACAGAACTAGTTTGGTATGGGGAAATCCATGGTTGGGGCCGTGCTCATGCAGGTAGTCAAGGCCATTAACACCATATTGCTGTGGAGGTTTGTTACCCTGGGGAACGTTTACCCCATTGTCACTGGCTTTGCCACCATGGGCTTCCCCAACTGTGGGGAGCCATAGACAGCACCCACATCCCCATCCTGGCCCCCAACCACCGTGCCTCAGACTATATAAATAGGAAGGGTTATTTTCGATTGTACTTCAGGCGCTGGTGAACAACAAGAGCCAGTCCATGGACATTAATGTCAGCTGGTCAGGGAAGGTACACGATGCCCCCATATTCTGGAACTCTAGCCTGTTCTAGAGATGAACTCCAGTACTTTTTTCCCTGACCGCACCCTCAGGGTTGGGGACATGGACATGCCCATCGTAATCCTCAGTGACCCAGCCTACCCTTGCTCCCCTGGCTGATGAAGCCCTACACAGGCAGCCTGGACTCAGCCAAGGAGCACTTCAATGCCAGGCTCAGCAGGTGCTGCATGGTGGTTGAGTATGCCTTTGCCGCTTGAAGGAGAGGCTCAGAAGTCTCCTCACCCACCTGGATCTCGCCAGTCAAAACATCCCTTACATGGTGGCGGCATGTTGCATGCTTTACAACATATGTGAGAGCAAGGAGGAGACTTTCCTGCCAGGGTAGGGGGCAGAGGCTAATCAGCTGACCAGGGCTTCCAGCAGCCGGACACCACTGGCATACGGAGAGCACATCAGGTAGCTGTGTTCATCCAGGAGGCCTTGAGGAAGAGCTTCAGCCCAAGGCCACCTGTGAGACTCTCCCCCAGGCCTCTCCACAAGGGGCCTCTGCATTGCCCCTGTGTGTCTTTCCTTGCCCACTCCTCCTTTCCCTGGCCCTCCTTTCCCACCGCCTCTCCAGATGAAGTAACGCAGACTTTGAACAAACAATTCTCATTTTTTATTGGGGAGGGGGAGTATACAACAGGGGAGGGACTGGAAAAAGAACCAGGAATGGGGGAGGGTGGCTCAGGGTTGGGGCTGGGATTGATACCTGTCTTGGGTACCTTGGGAGGCTTTGGCTGCCCAGAAGATCCCACCGCCATGTGTTCAAGGGCCTCGGTGGCACCTGGGGGGCTAGGAGAAGCCATGGGGGTGGGAGCAGGGGCAGGTGCGCGGAGTGGGACAGGGAAGTTGGGCAGGGAGTTTGGGAGTAGGGGGGGAAGGGAGGTGGCTAGTGGCCCATTGCATACACATGGCCATGCGCTCCATGGCAGACATGAGGTAGGAGCACATTGCCTCTTGCTGGCATGACATGGCCTTTCCTCTGCTCCTGGTCAGCCCAGTGCTCCTCGCAGTCAGCAGCCTACTCCCAGCGCTCCTCATCAAAGCCTCAGGTGAGGGACTGGAGGCAGGCCATCTGGTCCCATAGCAAATCTTCCATGGTGTGCTTTCTGCAGCAGATCTCATGACATTGGGAAGATGGCATCGGAGTTGGTGGCCGCACCACACTCACAGCTGGGCCAGCTGTGAAGAAAAGTGACAAGGGAAGTTATCACAGGAGACACTGCATGAAGCTTAGCCCTAATTTCTGCACCGACACCAAAGGTCTCGGTTCAGACGATGGTGATGTGCTTTGAGCAAGGCCATCTGTTGCCTAGACAGTGGGCGCTTTCCTACAGGGACACAGACGTCTCTACCCCCATGTCCTGAGGACAAGCAAGCATGGAAATGTGCTGGCCTGGCCAAGAGCCTGTGAATGGAAGGGGGGGACAGGAAGGCACGGCTACCTTCCGTGTCCCACACACGCCGAGTCTGGCACTGGCGACACCCTGCGGGGGTAGGTTGCTGGGGGGAGGTGTATGTGAGCAGAAGAGGCCACTTGCTGGTGAGATTGCTACTAGGGTTCCCTGCTCTTCCTCCCCCTTTCAGGTTCCAGTGCAGAGGATCTGTCTCCTCCGCATTGCCATGCTTGACCAGGATGCTGCCCGAGTGTGGGCATGAGCCTGTGCTGTCTGCAGCACTGCTGTGTGTTTCCATGACCTCAGCCTTCTTAGGGTGGCTTGTCATGGGAAGATGTCCCACCATGAAGTCCGGAGCCTTGTGAGAAGGAGAGAGGGGTTCCTGTGTGAGAGCATCATGGACTTGAGAGCTCTGGACTGGCGCTCCATGTGGACCTATGTGCACAGGCTGTTGTGTGACCCCCAGGCTGAGGAGGCCAAGCAAAGAAGTGAACAGCTTCTCACAGCCCACCACCTGCCTCTGCATGTAGATAGGAAAAGTTATGAAACTCACTTGAAGTGCCTTCCCAGAATTGTCTGAGCACTGGGAGACCACCTGGGAGAGGGGAACAGGCTCCAGCCAGAGGATCAGCTCCTGGCTGGCAGGCACGGTGTCCTGGCTGGCCAGCTCTTCCTCCTGCTCCTTGTCCTCCTCCACAACCCCGCCATCATGGAGGCTGAAGCCAGGCATGTCCTGGCTGGAGTCGATGATAGGGGGTGGGGGGTTTTTAGCCACTCCTCACAGGATGGCATCCAGCCGCTCATGGAAGCAGTGGGTGTGTGGTGGTGCCCCAGAGCAAGAACTTTACTCCTTGGGCTTTGTGTAGCCCTGCCACAGTTCTTTAATTTTCCCCTGGACCTGGTCCTGGGTCTTGGTGTGCCCTTTCTCCACCAGGCTGGCAGCCCTCTGGCCATACATGTCTGCATTCTGCCTCTTGGTGTGGAGATCCTGGATGTTGGTCTTCTCCCCCCAGACCTCAATGAGATCCAGGATTTCTGCACAAGTCCAGGTCAGTGCCCCTGTCTAGGGGCATCGGAGGGTGCTTCCAGAGTGCTGGCAGCCGAGGGGGATGCAGAGGAAGTGCTGGGGTCCACGATGGCGCCACTGAAGGGCACTATGTTGTATGGGGCTAGCAGGGCTCTCCTGCGGCCGCAAACCCTTTCCCTTCTGCCTGCAACTTTAAACTGCAGGAGAAGGGGAGCATTGGAGTTGTCTGGGGTGTGGCCAGAGTGGCCACAAGTGTGCCTGTGAGAGGCCTCTGGAGGCCAATTATTTCAAAATAGCAGCAGCTGAGCATCCACACTAACACTATTTCAAAAGAACAGTTTTGCAATACGCGTTATTCCTCATGACAAGCAGGAGTTATTTCGAAATAACGGGCTTGGTAGTGTGGACGTTCCGTTTGTTATTTCAAAATCATAGACTCCTAGGGCTGGAAGAGACCTCAGGAGTCATTGAGTCCAGCCCCCTGCCCAAAGCAGGACCAACCCAACTAAATCATCCCAGCCAGGGCTTTGTCAAGGCTACAAGAGGTTTGTAAAAACCTCTAGGAATGGAGACTCCACCCCCTCCCTAGGGAACCCATCCCAGAGCTTCCCCACCCTCCTAGGGAAATAGTTTTTTCCTAATATCCAACCTAGACCTCTCCCACTGTCACTGGAGACCATTGCTCCTTGTTCTGCCATCTATCACCACTGAGAACAGCCTCTCTCCATCCTCTTTGGAACTTCCCTTCAGGAAGTTGAAGGCTGCTATCAAATGCCCCCTCGCTCTTCTCTTCTGCAGACTGAACAAGTCCAAATCTCTCAGCCTCTCCTCTTGGGCCATGTGCTCCACCCCCTAATCATTTTGGTTGTCTTCCACTGGACCCTCTCCAATGCGTCAACATCCTTTCTATAGTGGGAGGCCTAGAACTGGATGCAATACTCCAGATGTAGCCTCATCAATGCTGAATAAAGGGGAATAATCACTTCTCTAGATCTACTGGCAATGCTCTTCCTAATGCACCCTAATATGCCATTAGCCTTCTTGGCTGCAAGGGCACACTGTTGACTTATATCCAGCTTCTCATCCATTGTAATCCCTAAGTCCTTTTCTGCTGAACAAAAGCCACTTGGTCCCCAGCCTGTAACAATGCTTGGGATTCTTCCGTCCCAAGTGCAGGACTCTACACTTGTCCTTGTTGAACCTCATCAGATTTCTTTTGGCCCAATCCCCCAATTTGTCTAGGTCACTCTGGACCCTATCCCTGCCCTCCAATGTGTCTACCTCCCCTCCTAGCTTAGTGTCATCCACAGACTTGCTGAGGGTGCAATCCATCCCCTCATCCAGGGGAAATAAGTGTATAGGCATAGAAGTTACAGATGGCAGGTAGCAGAAGGGATAGAACTTACTGGTGCCCCCCCCCGGTGGCCTGTATAGGATTCCCCCTCTAAAGCTTGCCTCTGCTTTGCCCTGACTAGTTTTAAAATAATCAAAGATACAGTGCTTTTGCTATGTCTCTCTTTGGAGTTATCCCACAATCCGTGGCAGGAAGGGTAGTTGTGACTATCTATAGTTATCCACTCCACACCCCAAAAAGGACATAAACCAGCTTCTGTTTTATATTTTGGGGTGGTTGCTTCCTGTAGAATATTCTGACTTTGTTTTGTTTTGGTTTGTTTGTTTGTTTTACTTTCAGTATTTTCTCATATATGGAGAGAGATTCTAATGACTTTATTTTTGTTTTTCCCCTTTTGATTTCTGTATCTAATAATGAAACATGCATTGACGCTCTGCTGGACTAATTTCTGTCTCGTGTGCTACTTTCCCATGGTCTTTTCTTCTTATTCATCTTTGTCCGCCCCCACTCCCACCCTCCCATTTGAACTTTTCTCCTGGTGCTTCCTCTTTTTATGGTTTTATTCTTTCCCCAGTCACTCCTAGTGGGGAGCCCTGCCGCCCAGGGCTGAAGCTGAAGCCTGAACAAATTAGCTGTGGGGGCTCCCTCTGGCCCTGATTGCTACCCGCTAATACCAGCCCTGGCTTTTATATGCAGAAAAACAGTTGTGGGCTATGGAATTTTTATAGCTTGCTGGAGGCCTTCAAAGGGAAAAAAGGTTGAGAACTCCTGATCTAGTCCATCCCCACAGAGTGAGGCCAGATTACATATGCCTAGACCAATCTTGGCAAGTGTTTGTCTAACGTGTTATAATTCTCCAAGGAGAGGGATTCAGCACATCCCTAGGTATCCTGCAGTGGCACAGCCCTGGTTTTGGATGTACAGTAAACTTCCGATAATCCGGCACCTTTAGGACCCAGGGGGTGCTGGATTATCAAATTTGCCGGACTATCGGAAGGGGGGGGCTATGAGGGGCCTAGGGTGGGGGGGATGCCATCCCAGACCCCTCATAGCCCCTCCTTCTGATAGTCAGGCTCTGCTCCAGGGGACCCCGATTCAGCCAATGCTGGTCAGTTTCAGCAGCGGCTTAATCGGGGACGCCTGCAGCAGAGCAGCTGGAGCGGCGGCGGGGTG